CTCCCGGCTCCGGCCGCGGCTCGGCTGGGATGAGCGAGTCGGGAAGAAAAGGCTCTTTCAGGAAGAAAAGGCTCTTTCAGGAAGAAAAGGCTCTGGGGCTCCCTGCCGTCCCTGCGGGGTGCGAGCTGTGCCCCGCAGCCTGGGCAAACAGCACCAACCCTGCTGTCGTGGAAGTGAAGAACCAATTTGAAACACAGGAGAGCTTTGGGAGCTGAAACTCGCGGGGCAGGGCAGCAGCAGCTCCTCCTGATGTACGAGGAGGTAGTGCTAGAGAGTGAACTGGCCATCTTGCAGCATGGAGAAGTGTAATTAAATGTTTATTGCCTTCAAAGGCTTGAGCTTCCCTTGTGATTGCTTCTGCAATCACTCACAGCCTTACTGCTCCTTTCAGAGAGCACTGGTTCTTGGAAGAGGGCAAGACTTGGGCAGCTCAGCTCAGGAGGACTTGCTAGAAATGCACTTTTCTAGAAACAGGACTTATTTTCCTAACAGTCCAGTGAAGAAAAAGGGCATAAAATGCTTCAGTGCACCTGCTGTAAAAGCATCCTTTTAAAACTGGTTTAGAAAAGGGGTCCATGGGCTGGAGGGGCTGGTCAGACCCTGGCTCAGCAGGGCTGGTGTGAAGCTGGGCTGACATGTTCCTGTTGAAAGAAAGCACGACTTTGTTTAATTTTTGAATGTAAAAGGAAAAAGAAAAGACACTGTAGGGTGGTCAGAGAAATGCTGAATACAGTGAACACCTTTCATGACAAAGAACACAAACACCCTGCAGATCTGCTTTCAACAGCAGTCACTAGGCCCCCTGCTTTCAATAGTTAATGCCAGGCCCGTCTCTCCCTTCATGGTAACAATCACAAGCCAACGCTTAAAATGTTGACATGCTAAGCACATTTAGAAAAAACCTATGTCTGCATTCCCTATGGATGGTGTAGCATAACTGTCTAACACCCAAAGGGCAGCAATTCAAATAAAAGGGAACTGAGCTGATCACCATCTCCTGGAAAGTTGCAGTGGGCTCTCCCTTGGGTGTTTCCCTTCTCCTTTGCATGTCAGCAGAGCTGTAGCTGTTCCTCATGGGTACTTACACCCTCACAGGCCATATGTCTCCATTGGAACATGTTTAGGAAGAATGTTTCTATGAGGGGGGAAGGAAAAAAAAAAGCTGTTGAGAGAGATATTTGTATTATGCTCATTCATCCAGCTGCTGAGATCAGGCATCACTGGCAGGGATTGGAAAAGAAGTACATAGGCAAAGGTCTGGAATGAAACTTTTGGAGAAACAGTGAAAATAAAGCTGATAAATTGCTGGTGGGGGAGAGATATGAGGAGGAGGTGCAAGGCAGAAACAAAATTAATAAGCTGGATATTCTGAACCTGTATCTGAAGAGAGTGATGAGAGGCAGGCAAGAATGAGTAGTTTTCTGGAACAAAAATCTGGGACTCTGAAATTGGATAGTCTAGAATGAAATGTCAAATGAAAGCTGACATCCTTTCCCTTCTTTCCTTCCCGTTAGGCTGTGTGGGAGCTGCTGTGGGCAGTTCCATGTGCCGGGATTGAACATGGCAGAGCAGTTACAGGGCAGTCACTGGGCTGGGGTTGGCCAGCTTGCAAGGTCAGTTAATTCTGGCACGAAAAGGAACATCTCCCATGGCATCCTGACCGCTGAGTCAGGCCACCAGCTTCCTCTGCAGTTTGAGGGCCTTTCTCGTGGCTCTTTTCCCATAGGACTCCATGACCAATTATTCTGGCATGTAAATGGATTTCTGTCAGTACTGCAGAGGTGTGCTGGGGTCCACCTGTCCACTGAAACTTTTCTTAGGGGTCTTCAACTGAAAAGGGGCTGAGAAAGCTTAGCACTAGGCTTTTAAACTGCAAAAACGACATCCCTGACTCCTTGTTTTTCCCCGTCAGGAGACTTATCGGAGGGTCGGTGATCAGGAGGTGCCTGGAAGGGCGATGGTGCTGGGCTTGCACCGACCCTGTGCAAGAGTTCTCAGGTATTTGCACCCAGTGAAGCGTTTTTCTTTTTGCTTGGTGCCAAACAGGGCTGGTGCAAAGCCCCGTACCCCGCGGATGGAGTGGGAAGGGGTCCCGGACGGCAGGGAACACTGGTGCGGGTGAGCTGGGCAGAAACGCGCAGCGCTGCGGGGACACCGGGCGCGCTGTCCGGCCGCTCCGCAGGACAGGGATGTGTTCCCAGGGCCCGCGCGGGGCTGTTCTCCTGCCGCCCCTGCCCGGGAAGGTTTTGGGGCGCGTCCCCGTCCTGAGGAACCACAAGACAGAAGGCGGGAAAGCGTCTCTCTGTCCCAGCATTGGTGGTTCAGTGGTAGAATTCTCGCCTGCCACGCGGGAGGCCCGGGTTCGATTCCCGGCCAATGCAACAGCTTCACTTTTACTTCCTTTATTTTCCATTCTCCCGCCCTTCCTCCTTATTTCTTCTTCCTTTTCCGGTAGCCGAAACCCC